TTACTGAGGAAACTTTTTTTGTCCCGTTAACTTTCTGGGACTTATATGTATCTGCAAATACCACGTTCAAAAATGTTGTTTTATATATTTGGTTCTTAATATTGCAGCTTAGAGTCTGGAAAAGTGAGCATGTATCAGGCCACACTCTTTTTACAGTTATTAGATGTACTATAGGTTAGGGCAAAATTCTTACCTGTGAATCGCCTCAGAGCCCTGGATGTTGAACAGAGAGGAGACTGTAAGCAAGGGATCCAAGTGTGTTAGGATTGTGTAAGGTGTGAGGTGGGGCTCAGGTGACAGTAGAAAGAGGACATGAATTTGGTTTTGTCAGCTTGTATTTTATTAATGGTTCTGGAAAATTTCTCTGAGAATACTCTTAGATGTGGTAATATGGGTTTCCTATATTAGGTTGTACAGTAGGCAATCAGATGTTCTCAGTATTTGATTAGCTTTGAGTCTCTGAAATAGCCTTTGCCTACTGAAATAAAGTTTCTTTGATCCAGACTGAAAGCAGCAACACACTCGCTATGAGTGTGATTCAACACTTTTGAACTTGTAGGAAATGTCAGTAGTGAATTCTCTTCTAAGTCCTGTTATCTTCATAACATTGGCATTTGTCCAGGTTCTCTCTGTAATCTGTTCTCTGTCCCTCCCCTCCCCAACTGTTCCCCCCAACACACACCTGGTAGGGCTCTCCTGAGATTGAGCCAGAAAGCCTTCTGTTACCCACAAAACAGTCTTGCTACTATCACAGCTATGGGTATGTTTTGCCTGAAAAATTGAGATTGTAGCAAACAGGATCCAAATTTAGGTATGGACATTGACAGTTCTGCTTCTCATCCCAGTCTACATAGCAGTTTTTGAGACTATGAATGCTACCACCAGGGAGTCCAAGATATTTGTAGATAGTATGAGTAGTCTGATCTGAGGTTTTTTGTTTTGGGGGGGTTGGGTGTTGTTATGGTTGTTGTTTTGTTTTCTCAAGAAGGTTCACTTGCTTTCGAACTCTCCTATATTGTCCCCTTTAAATTTTTCTCTGGCCTTCTTGAAATGTGTACTCACTGATGGACTGTTTTGAGTTAGTTCCAATTAGAGGAGAAGAGTTATGAAGAGTTACAGTTTTTTTTTTTTTGGAGTGTTTGCTTTAGCTGTGCTTCTCTTTGTCTTTATGTTCTCACACTCTTGGAAGCTTTTATACTCAGCAAATGTCATATTTTACCACAGGGTTTCTATGTGTATATTGGCATGATCATTTTTCTTCTCTCACTTGTGTGTACATATTTGGTGTGTTCCATTGATTAGTTTGTAGGTGGTGAAAGAGTCTTATGCTCTGGTGTTAACTCATCTCTGTTTCCATTTCCATGGAATTTAGAGACAGTCTCTGTGTCTGTGTAGTTCCTCGAACCTGCTCTCTGATTTTTCTTTGCATATAATTGTTTGAGCTTTCCTGCTTTGGGCATTCAAGTAAATCCAGCTTTATATAATCACTTTCTAGTGTTCCTCAGATTAACTTATTCACTAGTTTCTAACAAGTGATCATTTAATCTTCAATTCTGATTTATTTGTGTATTACTTTTCACAGCACTGCATAATATAATGCTGGTGTCATTGATGACATTGGAGTACCCCCTTTTTATCTCTTGTTCTAATACATAGTCATTTTGTTTGTTTGTTTGATGGTTGTTTGTTTCTATTAGGTGAACAAAGCTTTGTCACTACTTTAGTCTCTGCACAGAGACAAGTTTGTTATATTGAATAATTATGTTATCTTTGAGTCTCTTTCATTAATTGTGGAGAACCATTTTGCCACTTCTCTGAAGCAGAGAAAAAAAGAGAGAGAGAGAAAGTCTACCTGCCTAGCAGAGTCAAGACAGGGCAGAGCCTGTTGGCAGATTTCCTGCCTGCTGAGGTATGAAATGATAAGAAGAGGTGCACTTGAGGCTCAAGGTTAGGGACTGGAGATCCTTTTCAGCTTGGTGGAAGGAACAGAGGTTTTTAGGGATGGGAACAAATATCTCCTGTACATTTTAACAAAATCGTTTCTGTTAGCTTGTGATGGTACTGTATCCCATGGTACTGTAGTATAAGAAAGCTATGAGAAATATACTCACAGCTGGCATGGTATGAACCAAGCAGCCCTCCCATACCTGTCTCTTGAATCTTTTTTTTTTTTTATCTTTCCTATAATCAGCTTCTCTCCCCGCTTAGAGACTTTATACTGTCCAGACCAGTACAATTAATTACTATATAAACTTACTAATATCTTTCTACATTCTACTTCAGATTGACTGCTTTTCATGCTTTTAAGCACTGAGACATGTAGCTGTGGACAAAAGTCTTTCCAAACCAGTGTCTCTTGCTGCCAAACTTTTCAGTATGTCTTGGTCACCTCACTTCTATGTGATTTTCTTTCCTGAGCTGGCACTCAATTTGACACTTTAAGAAAAGGTTCTCCATGCTCCATAAAGTCTGGCTCACTGTTCTTTGACTTAAATCTCTATAGTAAAGAGTTAATAATTAAGACCAGGAGATGTAGCTCAATGGTTAAGTGCACATGTGTTTGCAGTTTCCAGATTCAGTTCCCTGTACTTGCCTGGAGACTTTCTATCCATCAGAACTCAGATTCCAGCCTTCTTGTGCCTGCTATAGGCTCTAGGTGCATGATGTACACAGACCTACATGGAGGTATTGAAAAGTATTCAAGATAACAGTACAGGAACAAACATAGTGTTGTCAGTCCTGACGTGAGAGTGGAGATGGAGCCTGGATATGTGACACAACAGCCGACATCTTAAGTTAATATTGGAAGAATTAGGAATTGGAAGAGTTAGGAATGATCCCTGTTTAAGATAAATAAAGTTGTTTGTGTACATGGACCCTACGGTGCTGAATATCCTATGTTCATTGTAATATGGCAAAAGATTTATCATATTGATGATGAAGTTAGGCACATAGTTGTTAAGTTTTATGAAGAGCCACCCTAATTGTGGAATAATTTACAATACAGGAAAATGTTCTTACCCAGCATCTGCATTAGCATAATATGTTGGTTTAAGGGCTCTGTTTTAATTGTGTCCTAAATCAAACACAGCAATCTCTTCCATGCTATTCTTTTGAGAAGTACATTGAAACCAAACACATTGAGTGACATTCTCATAGTCATGCTCACTCTAGTGCCTGGGGGACCTAAGCAGGTACATGGTTCTGAACAAAAGAGGAAGACATGAGCATTTGTCTCATGGGTACATGAAACCTCCCTTCAGTGCCACATGGAGCCTCTGGGGAAGACCCTCTCTTGATTCTCTGTCCCATGACTTGCTACTCAGATTTTCATTCCATTCACCCCCCCCCCTTTATGGTCCATGCATGTTTTGAGGGAGGTTTGGGGTGGCTACCCAGGGTATCATATATTCATAATTCTAACTACCCTCGTCTATGGTAGTAGGAGTTACTGTAACTCACCCCTCTTCCTCTGACTGTTACAGCCTTTCCTTCCACTTCAGTCTTTGTACTCAGAGGTCTCTGAAATGATAATTTGCATTGCAAATTGTGTTTGTCTCATTTATTAAGCTTTCAAGCAGCATGAGGCTATGGTTTAAGTAGAAGCATTTCAAGGCAATTCCAGTATTCCTCCATGTTGTAGTACATCAGTCATAGTTTCCTTCTTGGACCTGTGATCTTTCCAGTCTTTATAATTCGGCCTTGGCATTGCCTGGAAAAGTTCTCAACCTGAGGGTCATGACCTTTTGAGGGGGTCAACTAACCCTTTCACAGGGTCACCTAAGTCTACCATAATCATATATTTCTGAAGGTCTTAGGAACTATACACCACTCCTGAATCAATCTACAATTAGGACTGCCACATGTGGATACATCAACTCATAAGTTCCTGGTATTGTATTGAAATGTCACAGCATTATAAAGGTCAAGGACCAGTGACTTAGTACACTTAGCACACGGACACTCCATTTAAAGATATGTGCGTCTTGAACTGGAATAGTATACCTACAAATGCATTCAAATGGATTTCATTGATCAATATTCTCACACAAAGGTGTGCATGCAACTTAGAAAAGAGGTCCACATTGAAAGGAAGAATAAATTGGAGATATACAGTTTATCTCAGGGACAATTTAAAGCCTTCTTAGAGGATGATAAAAAAGTGATCTGATGACAATTTATCAGTTTAAGAAAAGCATATTTGACAGGTAGAATGTGTGTCTGTACTCCAAGACTTCAGGACACATGGAAAATAGATGTACAGTATCTTCCAAGTAGAATGAAATTAAATGTAACCAAAGTGACAGCTCCAGTGCTGCCCGAGGTACCGAGCTCGGGCGTAGGTCTGGGGGATTAAAGAAATACTCAGACTCAGGTCATTAATTGTGAGAGAATGCCAATGCCTTTACTGAGCAGTTTCAATATATATACAACAAGCCAGGGAAGGAAAAATATAAACTCAGGAAAAAACAGGAACTCAACTTGGGGGCAATAGGATATCAAGTGTAAATTCCCTTTCTGGGGCACCATGCCTTAGTCAGGATGTTTTGATCCTAGAGGAACCACAGAATGTTACTTAGTAGACAGCAGCATACGGAAAGGCTCAGCCAGGGCATAGCAGCCCTTGGGGGTCCTACACCAAAGGGTCAGATATTATATTCTAGTGTGATGGCTAATCAAACTCCATTAATGCTAGGCATCCATCATAGTACCCACTAGCCATTTGCCCGAACTCAAGTCTTTGAATGACAAGTTTGCAGTAATAGTAGTTTGGTCCTGAATAGTAGTGTTTTGTAGCAGATATAAAGGTGTTCTTTGTTTGTGCCTAGTGCCTGCAGAGGATAGAAAAAAAGCCTCAGATTGTAGTCATTTTTCTTGTCACATTAATATATCATCTTATGCTCTCCTGTCTGTAGGAATATTGGTAAGATTTCTGGTATCATTTTTGCTTTTGTGTCTTTTTATGTGCATTGTCCATAACAGGGTTGTATTTATTTTAGCTCTTAATTTTGAAAACCTTGATGTGAATAGTTATTCCAGTCAGTATTTCTGACACAGAAACTTGGAGAAGAACAATAAGAAGAATGGATGCTTCTCTGGTAAATGCTTCCCAGGTCAGTGCCTTGTCCACATTTTGCTTTTTTTGAAAATTCCTTTTATTATTTAAACCATTCAAAATTTTAGTTCTTTACCTCTTGTAATGTTATACAAAGTGTTTGTTTTCTGTGATTTATCTTTGTTCTTCTCCAGTGATCAAAATTAAATCTTGAGATCTTTCACTTCTAATGGGACAAGCACAGGCATGTCCCATTGTATTGTCACTGGATTTTATACTGTGAGGACATAAATTTCCAAGAACTGAAGACCTGAAGTTCTAAAAGAGATTGTATTGTAAATGATGTTCAAAGAATATGTTGATGGCTAATTTCTACATAGGATGGACTTGTGTACTTTAATATTAGTGGAGAAGGAAAGTCTTCTTTGCCACATAAATTGCATTTCAGGAATAGTCAGGTTTCCAGAAACAGCTCTGTGAGTGTACTCCTGCAAATACATGGACACTGACATCACTGAGCAAAATATAGAAGGGTAGAATTTATGGAAGAGTAGAATTAGAAGATGTTCACAGTCTTGAATCCTAATAGTAAATATTTCAGGTCCCTAGAGGCACAGATGATGGAAGGAGTAAGTAGCTTTCTCTTACCATAACACTAAAGTGTTTGTGAGGAGATGCGGGTTGTGTACTCTGATATCTCTTTTTGGCATTTTATGTCACACAGTGATCATATTCTTTCATAATCTACCTGTTTGTTCTAGAAAGGGTACAGCATTCTTACCTAGGTCTCAGGATGTCAACTAAGTATTTTAGAATAGAGTCAGGTAAGACCCAGCTGCATATAATGTCCATAGTTGAGCAAGGCTGACTTCTATAGAATTTAGAAGCACAGTTTTACTCATAGTAACTTGACCATCTGTGATGTGTCACTGGGATTCTGGTTGATAACAACTCTATAATTCATAATGGTACATTCCTACATGTAGACTTCACATGTGTATGTTATATTCCCTAAAAGTTTGCTGTTTATGATTCCATTATGTAATCCTGTTTCAGAGAAAAAATAAAATAAAGACTAAGACTATTTTAGGAAACATCCTTTATTAAAATTAAATTTCAGTTTTCTTTTATGTATGTTGGTACATTTGCCTGAATGCATGCATATGTGCACTGTATTTCTGCATCCTGTAGAGTTCAGAAGAGAGCATTGGATTTCAAAGAATTGGGATTAAAAATCTGTTATGTAGTTCCATGGGGGTGCTGGGGAACAACTTTGGATTATGGAATTCAAACTGGTGACAAATTGTCAGATGAAGTGATGGTAACAAATCCTTCACCTATTCTTAAGGTCTTAAGAATAATCACCCCTTCACAATAGTCACAAATAATATAAAACACCTAGGTGTGAATCTAACCAAGCAAGTGAAATATCTGTATGACAAGAAAAAAAAATAATCAGAAAATTCATGAAGAGGAGAGACCTTATGAATATAATCAACATAGTATGGCATTCAAAACATTGCTAAATGAGAGCAGCAATACTTAACTTCTGACATATTTCTACAAGACTTCTAGAAGACGTTTATCCTTGAATATTTGCTGTGACTCATCTTTATCACAAATTACCTCTTGAGGTCTTTTGTACCTAGGAAAATACTTTTGTCCAGAAGCACATGATAAACAGATAATTTTCTATTACAGGATCAGTTAACATTCAAGGATGTGGCTGTGGACTTCTCACAGGAGGAATGGGAAAGTCTTGACCATGCTCAGAGGGCACTGTACATGGATGTGATGTTGGAGAATTACAACAATCTCTTTTTTGTGGGTAAGAATACTCTTCTTGTAGAATTCCTGATTCATTCTTTGAATTAACCTCCTGTGGAAACTCTCTGACGTATCTAGAGACTCCCAGAATTAGGGAAATTCTGATTAACAACATATCTTCTTCATTGTGTTTCCTTTACATTTCTCTCCATTCTTTGCAAGAGGAACCATTGTTGTATTCAGTGTAATCTCTCCAAACATCGCATCTACTTTTAATTAAAACATCCAAGTTTAAAAACAATTAAATATTCAGAACAAGAAAATATATTGCCACACCTGTAATAATTGGAATAAACTAGTTTTACTGTTTACATTAAAGTTCTCACTTGTTTGTGAATTTAAAAATGCAGAAAGTTCTAAATAAAGAACTGTTGGTTCTGAGAATTGGGATTTTGCTTATTTATTTACTTATTGACTTGTGGTCTCTATGTTTATTACTGTTACAGCATGGTTTTTATATCATAAGTTCCATGTTAATGTGGTTTGCTTAATGAATTCCTAGCTAACCAAAGCTATACATTATCACTCTGTCACAAACCAAGAAAATAGAGAAACTTTATGTGATCCTCAGAAAGTTCCTTTTTCAAAGTCTTTAATGCTCCATCACCTATCTTTCTTACCTTCTGCAATGCACAGTGTTTAAATAGAATTCAAAGGACATTTCCTGTCATTTGATTTAGATGAGTTTTGAGGTTGTTCTCAGCATCTATGTAATGATTGTGAAACCAGAAAGACCTCTCTTGAGAGCTCTGTCCTTGAGAATGGCTAATTTACCTTAGAAAATTTCAGGAAACATGGGATATTGTCTTACTCATTCACTAATCCCTGTCATCTCTAATTGCAACTTTTTCAGAGAATCATTGCATATGTCATAAATATGAGAACTTCTTGGATCAAGATGTACAGCATATTGTCCACGAGCATATGAATATCCAAGAGAAGTCTTATAAATGTCATGAGCTTGTTAAAATCATTCATGAATCCACCCAGAGTACACCTTACAAAACTAACCTCAGGGATACACCTGTTGAATCATCAAACCTCAAGAGACATGAAACTGGAAACAACAGAGAACTTTCCAAATATAAAAACTGTGTAAAATGTTTAAATTTGTGTTCTAGAATTAGTCTAAATCAAGAAATCCACATAGAAAAGAAAGATGATGAGGTTTTTAACTCTAAACAAAACCTCATGCTCAGACAAACCAATAGTGGAAAGAAACCTTACAAATGTAATGAATGTGACAAATGCTTCATCCAGAAAGGTGATCTTAGAAGACATCAGAGAATGCATACAGGAGAGAAACCTTACAAATGTAGTGAATGTAACAAATGCTTTACCATCAAAAGTGATCTTAGAATTCATCAGAAAATTCATACAGGAGAGAAACCTTATAAATGTTGTGAGTGTGACAAATGCTTTACCAACAAATATCATCTTAGAACTCATCAGAGAATACATTCAGGAGAGAAACCTTACAAATGTGGAGAATGTGACAAATCTTTTACCCAGAAAGGCAATCTTAGAAGTCATCAGAGAATTCATACAGGAGAGAAACCTTACAAATGTACTGAGTGTGACAAATGCTTTACCCAGAAATGCAGCCTTATTATTCATCAGATAATTCATACTGGAGTGAAACCTTACAAATGTACTGAATGTGACAAATGCTTTTCTAACAAAGGTGATCTTAAAAGTCATCAGAGAATTCATACAGGAGAGAAACCTTACAAATGTAGTGAATGTGACAAATGCTTTACCCACAAATGCAGTCTTAGTATTCATCAGAGACTACATTCAGGAGAGAAACCTTACAAATGTACTGAATGTGACAAGTGCTTTACCCAAAAATGCAGTCTTCTTATTCATCAGAGAATTCATACAGGAGAGAAACCTTACAAATGTACTGAATGTGACAAATGCTTTACCAACAAAAGTGATCTTAGAAATCATAAGAGAATTCATACAAGAGAGAAACCTTACAAATGTAGTGAATGTGACCAATGCTTTACCCACAAGTGCAGTCTTAGTATTCATCAGGGAATTCATGGAGGAGTAAAACTTTAGAAATATGAATATCATAAACTTTTTAGCCAGAAACAATCTTAACACTCATCAGATAATGCAAACAGTAGAGAAACTTTACAAATGAAGTAAGAGGAAAATCATTTAACAAGGAAGATCATCTTAGAGCTCAACAGAGACAATATATAGAAATGACAACTTACAACTGTAGTAAACGTACAAATCCTTTACTGTTGGCTTATCTCTTGAATACATCAAAGAATACATACAGGAGAAAAATCTCAGAAATGCAATGTATGAGGACATGTCTTTACCTGACTCTCAGGTCTAAGGAAGTATCTGGACATTGATAGCACAGAAAGTGTTACCACTGGAAAAAAAAATGTGCCATGTGCTTTATCCAAGTAGTATTCTTTCCAACACTTGACACTAGAGAATTATTATCAACATAAGAAATTTGTGAACCCCTTTGGTTAATGTTCAGATATTAAAATATATCCCAGCATTTGTTCTGAGAGAAACTCTGAAAACGTGACAGTGAAGGAAATAGTTCATTAAAAGTGTTCACCAGTTCTCCCCTCAATATTCAATAATGAAGACAAAATGGGAAAGCCAGAAGAATGTGGTGTTGTGTAGCAGTTTCCTGGAGACTGAAATAATCCATTGCAAAGGGAAACTGATTAAGGCAGGTAATACACCTCAAAATATTAATATTCTGTATGTTTAACTCAAATGAAGAAACTCAGACAAGTTATACTTCTTAAAAGAGGGCTTAACAAACTGAGCCACTAAGATAGGATGCTCTTTATCCTATAGATATGCCTACTGATATGCAGTTTGCTCCAAGTGTCCATTTATAATCTGTATCATATGCTGGTTTTAAGTTTCAACATAGCAGTTGTCTTTGTCTCTCCATAATTGATTCTGCAGTAATTTATCATGAATAATTGCCAGATTTTCCTAATGTTAATGTAATTGACTTTCTATATTAAAAAGTAATGATAGGGGAAATTATAATTTACTAAACTGCATGTCACTGATTATGTCACTATTCTTTTCATATATCTTTTGTGTCCTCAGCAGTAGGAAATGATTTTCATTATAATTTTAATGTAATGTTAATTTGGGGAAATTCATTCTTCTTTGTTTAGGTTTTTATCTCTTTGACGGTTTTGAAGGTTTGGGTAGTTTCTCCAAATTCTACTTGTTTTGTGGTCAAGTTTTCCGTTTTCACAAATGATGCCAACAGAATCTTGATAAGAATTGCTTACTACAATCACAGGATTTAAAACTCTGTTTGGACTGCCTTTCCATTAATATCTTCTGTTGTCTTCCTCAGCCAAAACTCAGTAATTTTCACTACTATAATTTTAATATTGATTTTTTTTTGCATATTTGGATGCTTTCTCAAATTTTCATATCATCTTCACATTACTTTTTCTAGGTTGTAGGGATGGTTTGATTTGTTAAAAACAAATTGTTTAGAATATTTACATAAGAAAAACTTACTTGTCATTTGTGTTTCCATGGTTGAATGAGAATATTATACTGTGTAAGTATTCACATGTCATATATGTATTCTTCTGTTTTACATCTTCTGTTGCTGTTCTTACGCATGCTGGTCAGTGAGTCATTCATTATTGGAAGAATGTATTTCAGTTTGTCATTTCATAAGCAACTACCTGTATGATGTATTTGAGTTTTAGTTAATTTTTTGCTTGTTTGGTTGTTTGAAAACTGCACATTGACTTGCATGATGGCTACAATAAGTTGCATTACCACTGACAGTGTATCTCTGCTTTTCTTTTGTTTCATTGTTGGCAGTATTTGTCAGTTTTGAGGACCTTGTGTATGGACAATGAGTAGGCATAGTGGAAATCTCCCTGCCTAGGAGATGTGCATTTTATTCATGACAGAATGGAGCATGTTTAATGTGTACTTATTGTCCTTTTGAATTCCTTTTTACCAAGATACATGAAAATCATTCACATATTCTTTAATTTAATTATCATTTGTTTACTTTGTTACTTTTTCTCTATTTTATTCTACATTCTGGCTATTAACCAGTTGTACTATATGAATAGCTAACTGATCAATTTGTCAATTGAAAGAAAAAATTTCAATCACAATACATGGAGAAACCAATATATCCAATATATTCTATGACCAAACCACATTTATACAATATTTTTTTACTACTCCAGCTCTACAGAGGACACTAAAAGGTAAACTCCAACACAAAGAGGGTAACTACACCCAGGAAAACACAAGAAAATAATCATCTCACAGTAAAACCAAAAGAAGAGAAACACACACACACGCACACGCACACGCACACACACTGAATACTACAACAACCATCAAAATAACTGGAACTAACAATCATGGGTCATTGTTACCTCTCAGCATCAATGGTCTCAATTCACCAATAAAAAGAAACAGGTTTACAGACTGGATGCCAAAACAGGATCCATTATTCTGCTGCATACAAACACGTCCCAGCAAAATAGATAGACATTATCTCAGAGTAAAGGACTAGAAAAAGGTTTTCTAAGCAAATGGACTGAAGAAAAGCTGGAGTAGACATTCTAAAATGTGATAAAATAGATTTTCAACCAAAAGTAATCAAAAGGGATGAGGAAGAACACTTCATACTCATCAATAGGAAAAGTCCACCAAGATGAAGATTCAGTTCTGAACACCTATACCCCAAATTCAAGGGCACACACGTTTGTAAAAGAAACTTTACTTAAGCTCAAATAACACATTGAACCCCACACAATAATTATAGTGGGGTACTTTAATACCCCATTCTCACCAATGGATAGGTCATCATAACAGAGTCTAAAGAGAAAAACAATGAAACTAATAGATGTTATAAACCAAATGGATGTAACTGATTTCTACAAAATTCTTCATCTCAAAACAATAGAATATGCCTTTTCAGTACCTCTTGGAACTCTCTCGAAAATTGAACTTACAATCAGTCACAAAACAAGCCTCAACGAATACAAGATTCAGATAAACCCTTGCATTTTATCAGTTCACCATGGTTTAAGGCAGGACTTCAACAACAACAGAAACAAAAGAAAACCCACAAACTTATGGAACCTGAACAACTTTCTACTCAATGATCACTGTGTCAAAGAAGAAATAATGAAAGAAATTAAAGACTTTCTAGAATTCAAAGAAAAGGCAAAACATACTCAAACTTATGGGAATTTTGCGGGCAAATGGATGGAACTTGAGAATATCAACCTGAGTGAGGTAGCCCTGTCCCAAAAGGACATGCATGATATAAACTCACAATTAGATATTAGTGATAAAATACAAGATACTCATGTAACTTCAATTTTTTTCAAATCTTATTTTTTAATGATGGTTCTTAAATGCTTTAACCTTCCTTGTAACCCACCCACCCACCTGAAGTAGTGGAAAAGAAAGAAAAGGGGGGAGAAGTGGACCTGCTTAGGAAGGTTCTTTGGAGCAACTCCTGTCTGTGTTATCTGGAAATCAGCAGTTCAGTTCCCAGGTTAGCATGCAGCAGCAGCTTGGATACACCAGCAGTCCAGTTTGGTAGAGTTGGGTTAGCTAGAGTAGTGACAGGACCTAGCAGAGACAGCCAGGCCTCAGCCTTGGCTCAAGTCAGCAGGAGGGACCAACAGGAATATCAGGAGAAGTTCTCAGCTGTGCCTATCTCAGGGAAGCAAAGATCCATGAAGACTTGAGAACATTGCACAGCTTGCTGTAGCAGCAAGATAAGCTCTGTCTCCATCACTCCATGGAGTCCTATTCATACCCTCCAAACATCACGTGTCCTCCACTTGCCTTGCCTCAGCATGGCTCTTGCCTCAGAATGTGCCTTGTCTCAGCACAGGTCTTTGGAAGTGGCAGCACACTGCAGTACACCACAGATTTTTCTCTCTATGGCATCCCAACAACTGCAGGTCAACTACACGACATAAAGCCAATCAATACATGTGTGTCCTTAGCAAAGAATCCTTCATCACCTGTCCTTACATGGTTGCTTTAGCAGAATATCCTCTCTCCTGTGTCTACTTCAGCGAAACGTTCCTTCATGAGTCTGACTTAGCCTGTCACAACTGTGTACACTTTAATGAAATGTTCTTTCATGTATTTGTCCCAGCAAAATACCATCCAACCAACTTTCCAAAGAAGCCTTTAAGATTCTACTTTTTTCCCATGCTATATTCCAGAGACCCAAAGAAGCTAAATAAGAAGGAAGGCCTAAGCAAGAGTGCTTGAATTTCACTTAGAAGGGCTAATGAAATAGTCATAAGAGGCAGATGGAGGGAGGGAATTGAGTGGGAGAGGGGATGGGGAGGGAAATTGTGGGGTTCAGGATCAGGTGTCAGGAGAGGTAGTAGAGGTTGCTGGATTGCCATGAGAATTAATGGCATCTGCAGCTGGTGGGGTTGGGGAGCATCTTGAGTACATGCCAGAGACCTGGAATATAGGAGGCTCCCAAGAATCAGTGGGGGTAACCTTAGCTGAGACAGTAGTGAGGATATAGAACCTGAAAAAGCCACCTTCTGTAGCCAGACAGAAACCCCGGTAGTGTGATAGGGACACCAGCCCACTCACAAAACTTTCAACCCAAAATTTATCCTATTTTTAAGAAATGCAGGGATTGTGGATGGAGCAGAGACTGAGGGAATGCCCAGTCAATAACTGGCCCAATTTAAAACCCATCCCATAGGCAAGCACCAATCCTTGACACTATTAATGACACTTTGGTATGCTCGTTGACAAGAGTCTAGCATAGCTGCATTCTGAGAGGCTCCACCCAGCAGCTGACTCATACATATGCAGACACCCACAGCCAAATAGCAATTGGAGCTTGGGGATTCCTATGGAAGAATAGGAAGAAGGACTGTGACCTGGACTGGGATAGGAACTCAACAGGAAGTCCAACAGAATCAACTAACTTGAACTCTTTGGGCTATTAGAGACTGAAGCACCAACCAAAGAACATACACAGGGTGGACCTAGGCCTTGTTGCACATATGTAGTCAAGGTGCAGCTTGGTCTTCGTGTAGGTACTGAACAACTTGAGCAGGAGCTATCCCAAAAGCTGTTGGCTATACATGGGATATGTTCTTCTAGCTTGGCAGTCTTGTCTGGCCTCAATGGGAGAGGATGTGTCTAGCCTCACAGAGCCTTGATGTGCTGGAGTCAGGGAATATCCAGGGGAGCCCCCACCTGCTCAGAAGAGATGAGGAGGGAGGATGGGGAAGGATATGTGGGTGGGACCAGGAGGGGGACAGTGAGCAGGATGTAAAGTGAATAAGTAAAAAAACAGTAATAAAAAAAAAAAACTTGGAGATATCTCATACCAGGAACTTAATAGCACACATGAATGCTCTAGAACAAAAAAGGTAACACACCAAAGACAAGTAGGAAGCAGGAAATAGTCAAACTCAGGGCTGACATCAATCAGAAACAAAGCAAACAATACAACGGACGAATCAACAAAACCAGGAGCTGGTTCTCTGAGAAAATCAACAAGATAGATAAACCCTTAGCAAAACTAACTAAAAGGCACAGAGACCATATCCAAATTAACAAAATCACAAATGAAAGGGAGACAAAACAGAGACTGAGGTGACCTAAAGAATCATTAACTCTAACCTCAAAAACCTTCACTCCATAAAAAAATGGAAAATCTAAGTGAAATGGATGATTTTCTAGACAGATACAATGTCCTGAAGTTAAATCAAGATCCAGTAAACTATCTAAACCATCTGAAAACACCTAAGGAAATAGAAGTAGTCATTAAAAGTTTTCCAACCAAATAAATAAATAAATAAATAAATAAGTAAATAAAAATCCCAGGGCCAGGTGGTTTTAGTATAGAATTCTACCACACAATCAAAGAAGAGCTAATATGAATACCCTTCAAACTATTCTACAATGATAGAAACAGAATAAATACACTTAGTTTCTTCTATGAGGCCTCAAACACCCTGGTAGCTAAACCACACAAAGACTAAACAATGAAAGAATCTCAGACCACTTTGGCTAATGAACATTGATTCAAAGATTCTCAACAAAATCCTCACAAACTGAATCCAAGACCACATGAAGAATGTCATTCACCATGATAAAGTGGGCTTCATCCAAGGGATGCAAGAATGATTCAATATATAGAACAGTGTAATCCAGTGTGTAAGAGAAAACTGAAAGAAAAAACATGGCATGATCATCTCATTAGATGCTGAAAAAGACTTTGACAGAATCCAACACCCCTTCAAGTTAAAAGACTTGGAGAGTTGAGGGATAAAAGGCACATACCGAAAATAATAAAGGTAATATACAGCAAGCAAATAGGTAACATCAAGATCTTCACTAACCCTATATCTGACAGAGGGCTTATATTTTAAATATATAAAGAACTCAAAATGTTAGACTCCAGCAAACCAAATAACCCAATTTAAAATGTGGTAAATAACTAAACAGAATTATCAGCAGAGGAATTTGAAATCACCGAGAAGCACTTAAAGAAATGTTCAACATCCTTAGTCACTAGGAGGCAGAAGCCAGGCTGGCTGGGAATGGTTTGAAGTAGGACACCACATCAGATGTAGTTTTAAAACTGATGCTAACTATACTGAATGCTTGCTAACAGATTTTGCCTCTTGCATATTCTATGGCTGAAGACTGCCGACTTCTTTCCTCTTTAACGCTCTGGGTTTTTTGTTTGTTTGTTTGTTTGTTTGTTTGTTTTTTAATAAATCTATGGTATATTAACTGCTGTATTTTTATTTAAGTCTGTAAGTGTTCTGTTTTTCATTAAGCACTGAAAACCATTACTGTTCTGTGCTTCATTAAGCACTGGGGAAACAACTCTTACTGTTCTTTGCTAAAAATTCAACTCCTTGTGCTTAAATAAGCACTAATATCTGGCAATTATCACATGCTGTTTAGAAAGAAGAATTCAGTAAAGGATTTATCGAGAATGCTCCTTTTTCTGGCAAGCCTGAG